TGAGTGACGCGGCCGGGCCAGAGGAGCTCCACACGGTCGCGTTTTTAAAAAATTGTGACAGCTATCAGGGAGGAGCTGTGACAATGGTGATGGGGGGGGGTGCAGTCTGTAACATGTTACTTCCTGAACATGGGAGTAGTAAACATGTAACATATTACGAAAGGTGAACTTATGCTTTAACCACTTACACGTAGAAGGAATAACACTCCACCATTAGTATCAGTGAGAGGAATAGTGCCCCATCATTGGTGTCAGTAGAAGGAATAGAGCCCCATCATTGGTATCAGTGAAAGAAATAGCGTCCAAACATTGGTGTCAGTAGAAGGAATAGTACCCCATCATTGGTATCAGTGGGAGGAATAGTGCCCCATCATTGGTATCAGTGAAAGAAATAGTGCCCCAACATTGGTATCATAGAAGGAATAGCACCCCCAAAATTGGTGTCAGTGGGAGGAATAGTGCCCCATCATTGGTGTCAGTAGAAGGAATAGAGCCCCATCATTGGTATCAGTGAAAGAAATAGCGCCCCAACATTGGTTTCAGTAGAAGGAATAGCACTCTAACTTTGGTGTCAGTAGAAGGAATAGTGCCCCATCATTGGTATTAGTGAGAGAAATAGTGCCCCAACATTGGTGTCAGTAGAAAGGAAAATTTGCCCCAATATTGTGTCAGTGGAAGTACCGGTGCCCCAATATTGGTGTCAGCGGAAGGACCGATGCCTAAACATTGGTGTCAGGGAAGGACCAGTGCCCAAACATTGGTGTCAGGGAAGGACCAGTGTCCAAACATTGGTGTCAGGGAAGGACCAGTGCCCAAACATTGGTGTCAGCGGAAGGACCGGTGCCCAAACATTGGTGTCAGCGGAAGGACCAGTGCCCAAACATTGGTGGCAGCGGAAGGACTTGTGCCCCAACACTGGTGTCAGGGAAGGTCCAGTGCCCAAACATTGGTGTCAGTGGTAGGACCTATGCCCCAACACTGGTGTCAGGGAAGGACTGGCACTCCAGCATGGGTGTCAGTGGCAAGAATAGTGATCCATTGATGGTATCAGTGGGAGGAAAAGTGCCCCCATCTTTAGTGTTATTGGATGTAATAGTGCTCTATATTTTATATCAGTAGATGGAATTATGCCCCATTGTTGTTGTTTTCCAAAGTTGTTGTTAGTGGAAGGACTGGTGCCTCTTATTAGTGGGGGGAAAAGTGCCACAAGGGCCAGATAAAGGCAATCAAAGGGTCTCATCCGGCCCCCGGGCCACAGTTTGAAGACCACACAATAATGTGCCGTTTCTTCATACCTAGTATATACTGCCCCTGGTGGCCTGAAAATAAACAAAACAAAAATACATTCCTTAGCGGCCCTGTGCTATACAAAGTTTGGGTGGTCAGATTGTAACATATGGGTGGGGAGAGGGGAGTTTACTCCACACCAGAAGTGTCTTTTCAGGGCTCTGTCTGCCCACTTTTATTCAAAACGTCAAATTTCAACAAAAGACATCAGTTGCCCGCGCAGGGGATTCCACCATGAAATCTAGTAAAATAGTATTCAGCCTTCTGGCTCTTTTTGGCAGTCCTGCCGCTCAGGATTAGTACTTTGGTCCTCCTGACCATCCAGGGCTCATGTACAACGCTGCACCTCTGTCAGCTTGTCTCTTTCTCCCTTGTAGACACACACTGACCCCCTGGAGGGAGGAGCCATGAACTCCAATCCCGATTCTCCTCCAAGGGCGGTTCCCACTATAGAAACGCAGTCCAGATAAGTTCCGAATTATTTCTGCATGCGCATTTTTAACGCGTTCCGGTGCATTTTTGACGCTTTCTGGTTAATTCATCCCCCACTCTCTTCTCCAGTTTAAATAGGGATATGCACATTTTTGGTGTATTTTGGTGCATTCCAGTCAGGGGTGGACTGACAACTCATGGGGCCCCAGGGCAATAGAGAATCATGGGGCCCCTGTGTCCTTGCCCAAACTCAAAAAAGCCTATGAAAAAGGTACCAGGGGCATCTCATGGGGCCCCCTACTGACCCCCGGGCCCTCGGGTAGTGCCTGAGTTTCCAAATGGTCAGTCCACCCCTGTTCTCAATAAATACTACATTTAGAATATATTTTATGGATATCTGCTCTTTATTTTGAGTTCCTCTGAGAGTCACTAATGAGAGAAGGGGAGCCTGGAAACCCACCATATGAGAGCTTAACATTTGGATTCCCAGCTGTATTTGATCATCCAAGCAATATTTGACTATCCGTTATGGGGCCAACACCTTCTGGCGAGTGGGGAATTTGTATATTACTCACAAGCGGTGGAGAAGACCTTTCTGAACCAACGTGACACCCTTCTATAGGACTCTCATCCATTCACTATTTTGGATTTATGTGGCACCCTTCTATAGGACTCTCATCCATTCACTATTTTGGATTTATGTGACACCCTTCTATAGGACTCTCATCCATTCACTATTTTGGATTTATGTGACACCCTTCTATAGGACTCTCATCCATTACCTATTTTGGATTTATGTGACACCCTTCTATAGGACTCTCATCCATTCACTATTTTGGATTTATGTGACACCCTTCTATAGGACCTTCACTATTTAACCCCTTGGTAACCGTGCTATAGCCGAATGATGGCTACAGCATGGTTACCCAGTTCTGGGAGAGCGGACACAGCTGATCACATGATGAGGTAAAAGGCCAATCACAGTGGCCTTTTACCACGTGATCAGCTGTGTCCAATGACACAGCAGATTACGGAGTAAATACAGTTGCAGGTTATTGCTGTCACAGCGTGAGGAAAGTACTGCGGATAACTGGCAGCTGTCACAGAACAGATCAGTACTGATCATCAGTGCCCTGCAGTGTCACTCAGCAGTGCCTCCCAGCAGTGCCTCCAGTCAGTGCTGCCAGTCAGTGTAGCCTATCAGAGTCGCCCATCAGTGCCACCTATCAGTGCCCATCAGTGCTGCCGATCAGTGCAGCATCATCAGTGTCTCATCAATGCCCACCTGTGCCACCTCATCAATGCTGCCTATCAGTGCCCATCAGTGCTGCCTATCAGTGCAGCCTCATCAACGCACATCAATGAAGGAAAAAAATTACCTGTTTGCAAAGCAGTGATTAAATACCACCAAAAGAAGCTGTATTTGTGTGAAAAAAATGATAACAATTTCATATGGGTACAATGTTGCATGACCGCGCAATTGTCATTCAAAGTGTGACAGTGCTGAAAGCTGAAAATTGGCCTGGGCATGAAGGGGGTATAAGTGCCCTGTAGGCAAGTGGTTAATGTAGTGTTGGGAAAGCACTTTATTGATATATTGATGTGATATGTTTTTTGATTTATATGTTTTCTGTTGGAGCCACACTAAGCAAGCGCCTGTCTATTCATGGTTTTGTACCCCGTGCACGCAGATCTTCCTCTAGTGTGTTTGGTGTTTTTAAAGTGTGGATCAAAGAGCGTTCCTCAACCACTTCCTGTCCTTAGGTCTTTTTATAACATCCTAGACTTCAAGTGGGTAAAACAAGCTCATGGCTGTAGCAGAAACCATGATCTTGGTGTAACTTTTTTCAGGTTTCGATCAGCTGTTCAGTAAAAGTGATCCGGATGGATTACAGCCACCCGATCACTTTGCAGTACAGAGAAGGGACGGCCCACCGCGGTACTTTCCAGGCTTTCCTGTTTCTCCAGGGAAGAGATTGAAAATCAACCATTATGTGTGATCAATTAACCTGAAAGCGTTGCGCATTCCGTTACTTCCAGTTTCGGAGCTGTTTCTAAAACCAAGCACCCTGTATCAGAGCTGTCATTCCCTGGCTACTAGAGAAGCAGCTGATCAAGCATAATTTGTGCTACGCTGGTGTGCAGGGGAAACATAAACACCCAATGTCTCCATAAAGAGGCCTTGTCTCCTGCCTATGTTATCACATAAATGGCATGTTAGTCTCCTTGTGAAAGTAATAAAAATCCATATAAAAAAATAATTAACCACTTGCCATCCACCCTATAGCAGTATATACGTGATTTGCATGCCAAGTAGTGGGCACGCGTGCTATTGGTGATGTCAATTCATGGTCCCGGCTGGCAATTCCCGGCACTTGGTGATCGTCGGCAAAGCTGAGAGGGGAGAGAGACCTGTGTGTAACGTGTGCTTTACTATGTAAGCACGCTGCTTTGTATTGTTCTGCTACGCAGAGCAATACAAAGCAGTGTGCTCGTGCTGACGGGAGAGATCTGTATTGTTTACATACAGACCTCTCCTCTGTCAGTGTTCCTCGGCAATCGCCAGGTGGCGGCGGGGAATCTCTTGTCTGGGACCCGGTGATCAACAGCAATAGCCACCAATGGTGGCACAGGTAGGGCGCACATGCGCCCCCTACCCGGAAATACAAAATCAAGTATATATACGTGATTTCACGCAGCCCTGCTGCCCTGTAGCAGTATTTCGGCTATAGGGTGATTGGGAAGCGGTAAAAGGCTAAGTTTTCCTTTAGGAACCTATTATATGTCCTCTGCCCTGCTGACCCCCTGTACACTGCCAAACTGACCACTGTACACTCCCACTCTCTGCTTCCCCTGATATGTACTGTTGCATTGCACCCCCACATCAGAGCAACCATGATTGGAACAATATACATCTGACTGATTTTTCACCAGACTTCCGTCTCTAGATTGGTGGTCTACCCTCTAACTACATGAGGCTACAGGCATTCTGCCAGGCATTCTGCCCAGGCTCTTAATCTACTAAATACATTCCAAGTACCAGTACAAACATTATTTTTTTAGCCTTTTTTGTAAAGCTCTTCAATTGCTAGCTCAAATTACAGTACGTCCAGCTTTTGTTGAATACTTGTTTTGGGCATACCATAGTGGATTAATGGGTAGAGAGCCCAACCTAGTGTTCTTTCTTACAATAAGATCCTCAGGGGAGGGACAAACATAAAAAACTTTAAAGTTATCTGTAAAATTCTTCAACATTTGCTAGTTCATGTTAAGTCCAGCTTTCATTGAATGCTTGTTTGCGTAACAATAAATGTAGAGCACAGTTTTCTAACGGTATCTTTAACTTCCTTGTTGTTGAGGCTGTAGATGATCGGGTTCAGCATGGGAGACACAATCACATAAAATACGGAGCTGTATTTCTCCTGGTTGGTGGAGTACTGAGATGGTGGACCCAAGAACATGAGCATCACTGTACCAAAGTATAACCCCACCACCGCCAGATGGGAGGAACAAGTGGAAAAGGCTTTAGCTCTTCCCGCAGACTTAATCTTTAATACAGATGACAAAATGCAAATATATGATATTATAATAAGAACAAAAGGGAGGAGAAGAGTAATAAAACTGATGGAGAAGATGACAATTTCATTGGATGAAATATTCCCACACGCCAATTTTAGGACTGCTAGAATCTCACACATGAAATGATTAATCTGGTTGTCGCAAAGAGTAATCCGCAGGAAAATTGATGGAAAAATACACATCATGAAGCTTGAAATAAATATCATGGCAGTCAGTTTGTAACAAATACTCCAACGCATGAGAGCGTGATAATGGAGAGGCCGGCAGATGGCCACGTAACGGTCATAAGCCATGATGGCCAGGAGAAGACACTCACATCCCTCTAAAAGCAGGATGACGTAGATCTGGATGGTACAAGCTCCCTGCGAGATGACCCTCTTGGAAGTAAAGAGGTCTGACAACAATCGGGGCACAGCAGTAGATGAGTAACTCAAGTCACAGACAGAAAGTACGCAAAGGAAGTAGAACATGGGGATGTGTAAGTGATGGTTATGTAGAATTATACCTATGATGAGACCATTCCCAAAAACAGTCACCAAGTATATTATGGAAAATAAAATAAATAATAAAGTGCTTATTGTCAGATCTTTGGTGAATCCTAGCAAAATGAGTTCCGTGAACATTGTCTTGTTGTCCATTGTCTGGAATCCTTAGGGGAAATCTACAGTCTCTTTAATGTTTTTGTTAATGTACTTTCAAATGTTCAGTGCAATATTTTTGAATTTGCAGCTTTTCTTTAAATAATCCTGGTAATAATGCCATGAAGGTCCTTGTTCAAGCACTTCCTATTATAGGGTGACAACTCTTTGTTCCTTTCTCTAGTTTGTGCTTTTGTGTTGTTGCTCTGTCACATGGACTTCATATGGAGACTACAAGGGGTAATTTCATAATACATTACAAAGGCATGGCATATAGGCAGGGAGTGGCTGCATGAAGGCTGCATGAGATCCCCAGCAATGAGATGCAAAATGATGTAAAAAAAAAAATCAAAAGCAATATTTATGAAAAATGACGTGTTTCTAATACACAGTCAGGGTTTATATCCTCTTTAGTGTCAACAAGTTTACCATTGTATGATTAATTCAAGTTCTTGTTTCCTTGTAAATGCATAAAGATATGCAGACTACCATTCTGTGTTTCGGGCTTGGTAGCACAGCAGTGCAATTGTTTGCTGTTCTTCATTTCTAAGGGTAACTCAGACATATAGAGATTCAGTAAAAGCAATTCACTTTGTATGTGGCTTTATCCCAGCAGTTATTCAGCACAGAACCTTTTTTATAATCAGAGGGAGAATCCACCTATATGTAGCACTGCCCTCGAAGGAGCTGCTTGGTAATTTGGGTTCTCTGTTCTGCTTTTCGACTCCAAGAACACCCTCAGCCCCTCTGACACACCTGGTTGAATGAAAGTCACTGCAAGCACTTATAAGAACACAAATATAGACACCTGTAACTTGGCTGTGCATTAGTTCCAAGAAATAGACACAAGACTATTTAGTAGTAAATTAACTGAGTGTATTGGTACAGATTAGTATAAATGGTGGTTCAAGCATAATTGAGCTCACAGAAGGTAGGTTCAGACACAGTCCACTAGACAGTATAACCACTATGCCAAGGTAACTTAGAATAGAGTTCTGTACCGCTAGACTGGAATCAACTCATAGATCAGGAAAGTCAGCAATAAGCAGTGCATATAAATATTAACTGCAATATGGATAAGAATAGAGTGCACTGTAGGAGAATAGCTAGTATATGGTGCAATGTCCCCTAGAAGGTACCTCTTAGAATAAGCAATAGGTAAAGGTCTCTGTTTAGCAGCTGTAAATGGGCAGTCTTTAGTCCTAATTCTTCAGATGGCTAGTGTTGGGGCCCAGTTGGACGGTTGGTGCACATGATAATAGTCCTATTGCAGGCAGCAATAAAGCGATTAGATGAATGTATGGTCAAGTCCTAAAAGGCTCAGTCTCTCTGTCAGCAGATAGTAAATCCCCACAGCAGCAGCTCACCATCCAGTTACACACAGTGATTAGTCCATTCTCTGCTCTGCACCCAGGTGACTCTGTTTGTTGACATCCCCTGAACTTAATGCTCCGGATCCCGCTCGGGCTGCTGATATGCAGCAGTAATGGTGCACACTGGACAATGATGTGCCCTCTCTGGGCTCCCTCGTGTCCTGTTCAGCCTGGATATATGCAGCTCTTTCTCCTCCTCCTGGCAATCTCCTCTCTAGGGAATGTTGTTCAAAAACTCCTGATTACACAGCGTAGTCTCTTTTCCCAGGACTACAGTTCCCACAGCGCAGTGCTGACTGACTCAGTCTATTGATCTCTTTCTGCTCAGAAGCTCCCTCCTTTTGCTGATATAGCTGTTAACCAGATCAGCACCGCATAGCAGCAGCTACAGAGAACAGTTGCAGTCAGTGTTTCTCTCACTCTCCATTCCTAGCCAAAAACCTGGCTACACATCATGGAGTATATGTGTGTGTGTGCGTATATATATATATATATATATATATATATATAATGAAAGTTATTCCTTATATTCTTTTTTTAGAGTATACTGACCTATTATTTTCCATCATATTAACAAAAAAAAGAAAAAAAAAACAGCATTCATCTCATCCCACAGAAAAGGGAAAAACTGGTAGGCTTATAGGTATAACACATTTTATTAAAATATCACAAAAAAGCAACAAGTAAAAATGTACAGTAGAAGTATAAAAAAAATAAATACTAAATGGAATAATTTCCTAAATGTGGTTTGCAAATACCGTATTTTTCGCTCCATAAGACGCACCTAGGTTTTAGAGGCAGAAAACAGGAAAAAAAAATTCTGAACTAATGGACTGCAGACACAGTACAGGAGATGACCAGAGACTGCGGACCAGGATGACTGCGGACAGCACAGGGACCAGAGACTGACCAGAGAGACTGCGGACTGCAGGAGATGACCAGAGACACAGCACAGGGATGACCAGAGACTGCGACAGCACAGGGGATGATGACCAGTACAGAGACCAGAGACTGCGGACAGGGATACAGATGACAGTGCTGCTGACCTTTGGGGAGGTGGGGAGCGGGTACCTGAATTTGACAGGTACCCGCTCTTACTTGCGCAGAGTTTTTGTTTGATCTTACCTGTTCCTCTATCCAGCCGCGCGCTGTCTTCCCGGCTTCTGTAATGGCGCTCGGCATGACAGCCGGGTGCCCAGTGCGCATGAGCGAGAAGCACTTGCACTTTGTGATTGGTCCGGCGGCTTCTGGGATCTGTCATGTGTCCCAGGTACCGCCTTACCATTCACAAAAAGCACCGCTTCTTGCGCATGGCACTGGGCACCCGGCTGTCATGCCCAGCGCCCACACTACAGAAGCCGGGAAGACAGCGCGCCGCTGGATAGAGGAACAGGTAAGATCAAACAAAAACTCCGCGGAAGTAAGAGCGGGTACCTGTCAACTTCAGGTACCCGCTCCCCACCTCCCCAAAGGTCAGCAGTCATCTCCATAAGGTCCCGCTGTAGAGCTGAGCGGCCGGCCTGGTATTCTGACACGGCCGCGGTGGAAATACCGGACCGGCCGCTCCATATTCGCTCCATAAGACGCACTGACATTTTCCCCCCTTTTTTTGGGGGAAAAAAGTGCGTCTTATGGAGCGAAAAATACGGTAATTAAAATTGCAAATAGACACTAAATATTTACTCTCAAATAGACTTTGTGTCTTCATTATATTCTTTTAAATAAAGAAAATGTAAAATTCCTCTTTGTAAATGTTGTTTTATCATAAAAAAAAAAAATGTAAATGTAAAATAAAAAAAAAAAAAGTTGATTACTCTCCTTGGTCCTTTCAGTCTCCAGAGTACAATCCAGTGTTAATTTTGTCAACAAAAATATTTTCGTCAACTAAATTAGCACTATTTTAGTTGACTAAAATATGACTAAAACAATTCAGATGACTAAAATACGACTAAAATTAAACTGGCATTTTAGTCAAAAGACTATAACTAAAACTAAATAGAAATTTTACATAAAAATGAAACCTGTACTTCCACCTAAGAATAAGTAGAGGGCATCTACTGAACTGCTAAAACAAAAAAAAAAAGAGAAAAAGGCTTTTCTTATTTTTTTTTTTCTTAATATTTATTACAGCCAATAGAGTTTACAGTCTTGTGGGTTTTTTTATATTTCCAATTTGCACTTCTGTTTGTGAAAAAGCAATATTTCTGTACATTTATGAAAGACGTTATATATCACAACAGCTACAATATGTCTGTAGTACATGTTCAAACCTTAATACCATAAATAATAACATGTTATTAGATTTTTTTCTCCAGGAGTATATAATGAGTTTGGAAATTGTAGAGATATGCCTAAATAATGCATTACAATTTCACTAAACCCGTTTGATTTTAGTCGACTAAAATGTACTGTAGATTTTAACCTCCCTGGCGGTATGATTATTTCAGATTTTTGGTGCTGAAAGCGGTACCATTATTTTGCATGGAAATATGTCTTTTTTTTTATTGTAGGCCTGTAATTTTTAGGAATAACTCACTGAAATCTGTCCGAACAAGAGTCTAGTAAACATCCCGGGTATGATAAAATTTGAAACACGAAATCATAAATTATAATTTAATAAATAATCATAAAAAATAATAATATAATAATACATTTAATTCAATAATATAATCAAACCGAAAACACTGAAATTTGAAATAGAGCGCCAAGTTCGCACATCACTGAGCAAAGTCGCAAAATTGTTTTCAGTGTCTGATGACGAATTTCCCCCACGAATCATTATCACTCAATTCTGCAAGTGGTTCTGATTTACTATCGCTGTTCTCTAGCCGGTCTAAAACCGCTTTTGACCTAAAGGGACACTTTTTGGACGCCATGGACTTTTCTCAGTTTCCAGGCAGAAAGAATAGTCAAAATGCAGGCAGGACACAGGACAAAGCACTCGGGACAAAATGTATGTGAAATGGGTTGAAACAACAATGTTTTACTATGTAAAATTTGTTTGGAAAAAAAATAAAAAAATTTTAAATTTTCAAATTTCCCGCCGCCGGCAGGCACCCGTACATCCCGACGTCACAGGGACCGGAACACAGAAGCCGGATGCCGGCATTGGCCGGAGGAGATGGCAGGGGATGCTGCAGGGGACACATCGCGGGAGCGCAGAACAAGGTAAGCTCTGCAGGGACTCCCTATGCAGCGCCGCATGGTAAGCCCGAGTGTAGCTCAGGGTTACCGCTTTTGGTACTGAAACTTTACCCCGAGCTACACTCGGGAATACCGCTAGGGAGGTTAATTAAATATAATGTAGGAGATTTTAGTCAACTAAAATACGACCAAAACAATTCAGATGGTTACTAAAATACAACTAAAGCTAGAATGGCATTTTAGTCAAAAGACTATGACTAAAACTAAATCGAAATTTGACATCAAAATTAACACTGGTACAATGCGGCTGATTTTACCCTGACATTCACTTTATTCACAAACATGCTGACCTGTGCATAAACATCAAGATAAAAATGTGATCTTCACTCTCCCAGTGCATTAAATATGACACTGTTCTTGCTGCAGATGATGGGTCGGTTTATTCTCTTTCAGATTAATATTTCAGAT